ATTCTCAAACTTAGGTTTCTTGATCGTTTTGATCAAAAAGAAAAAAGAAAAAGGAAAATCCAACATATTGAAAGTCATTTGGAAATAACAATCGAAGATATTGAAAGTAAACCACCAAGAGTGGCCCAGTGGTTTGTCCGCCATTTGGGTAAGGTTCTGGGGTTCAGCTGGGTTTGCTCCCTAGTTCGAGTCCCAGCAATTGCAACACCTGGTGCGGCAGGCTCAGTTCTGCGAGTGGGGATTAGTCGAGGTGCGTGCAAGCTGGCCTGGACACCTCATGGTAATTACCAAAAAAAAATATTGAAAGTAGACAAATTACTGATCCACTAAAAATGTTTAAACTAATCCTGAGTATATGAAATATGCTAAAATATAAACGAAGAAGGTAAAACCAAATGAAGTAATGCAATTATAAAAAAAAGCCATGACAAATCGATGTGATAGTATTTCAGTTGTTGTCCAAAAATTAGTGTAAGATGTTTGTGTCCAGAGTATCATTGTCTTTCTTAACTTATGGTGGCAAATTTTGGTGGATATGATCTTTTGAATATTTGACGGGTTTGCCAATTTAGCATTTTCTGTTTATTTTAAAGAGATTATTATTCTTAAAATTACCCTAATAGATTCTTACCTCAAATTATGATACTTTATTTTTTTCTTTTCTAAATTTTTTTGAAAATCAGTACACCATCTTCCACTGTGTTGTCGCCTCATTTGTTGCTTTCTTAAGCCAATCAATTGATTTCTTTACATAGACACTGTGATCTTTTTTTAATAATTGTTTTTTCCCGATTTTTGTTTATCGATAAGAGTAATTTAGAGCATTATCCATTACTATTAGGTCATTACCCGAGTCTCTATTGTCCCATTTTGAGTTTTTAATTTTTCAGAGTTATTACCCGGCCCTATAAAGAATTTAGCATTTTCACGTTTAATACTCGTATTGTACACGTACGTACATATTTTTCACGTTTAATACACTAGTTTTTTACAAAATTTTCAACAATACACACAAAATTAATGTATTATACACAAAATAGTCACATATTATTGACTAAAAATATTTAAATACTAATTATTCACTAAGAAAATAATAATTAAAGTAATTAAACAAGAGAAATTCAGAGTGCTATTCAATGGGTATACTTTAAAAAAAATTATCCCTCTTTTCACAAAAACACGCCCTAGGTGTGAGGTGAGGCGGGTCTTTTTTTATTTTTTTATTTTATAAATAGAATAGCCGGGCGGCTATACTCCGGATTTTTTATATTAACAAAAGAGCCGGACACACATATATACACATATAAATTATATATGTATTATATATATTGTAATATACATATATACATGTATATACATGTATGTGTACATATATATATGTATGTATTTTATAATATATATACATGTATATACATGTATGTGTACATACATATGTTTATATTATTTATAATATACATATATACATGTATATACATATACATGTCAAATATATTATAAAATACATATGTACACATACATAATACATGTATTTATACATATATACATATACATAGATAGTTTTGAATAAAAAATAAAAAATCTAGTCCTAATCCAAGCGTACACCAAACGCAGGATAAGTGTTATTCAACTTAGACCAAGCCAAGCCAAGCCAAGCCAGTCCCTAAGCATAGTCCATGCCAAGACAGTCCTGTGTACCAAACAAGCCCCCGAAAGTGCAAACTGCGTTTAATAATATTAAGCGGTATAGCCGATCGGCTATACAGTAAAAAAAAAAATCTATTTAAGCGGTATCGCCGCCCGTCTATACGTTTGAAATATTCTATTTACAGAGTATAGCCGCGCGGCTATACGCTTTTAACAAAACACGCGTTAGGCTTGAGGCGGGTCCTTTTTTTTATATATAAATGGTACAGCCGATTGGCGATACTCCGGATTTTTTATATTAAAAAAGTATAGCCGGGCGGCTATACTGGGGTCCCCCATTTTTGTTTATCAATAAGAGTAGTTTAGAGAATTATCCATTACTCATTAAGTCTCTATTATCCCTTTTTGAGTTTAGAGCATTATCCATTACTCTGCACATTCTTAACATACAAATCCCTCTTCTCTCCAGGAACCTAATTTGGACCCATGATTCTAACCTTCAAACCTGTCTGGACTTTACCAGCAAAGACACGACCAAACGCAAAGAATCGACCCTTGTCAGATGGGGGAATCATCTTAGATACATAGAGCATAAGAGGCCCTTCAGGATCACAGTTCCTGGTAGCATTTGCATGTTGATCATCAAGGGGACCCTCGTACAAGTTCTCAACACGGTATCTCTGGGCAGTTGAAGTAGAGGGAAGGTTGATCGGTTCATAATTGTATATCATTTTGTACCCTTCTAGCTTATGATTTGGTTATGTTTTTGAGTTAAACTTGTGCTTTTAATCCTTTTTGTGTTTATCTTTCAGTTCATTGAGCTTTAGGTAATAATGAGGGCTTTGGATAGTAAATGATGCAATCCATGCATGTTAGGGCCTAATTTGGATGAATGGATGAAGAGCTTAAAGACAAACTCAATTTTGGCTACAGTCCCCTGCCAGCCCAGTTTCGTAGGTCATATT